AGTGAGGAAGAGTATTTACTTTATCCCTTGAGCGCCAGAGGACCCTCAAAGACCACCAAGGCAGATGACTGCACATGCAAAATGAACATTTATGTATGATAGAATCATAGAATCATAGAATGGTTAGGGCTGGAAGGGACCTTCAAAGGTCATCTAGTCCAACCCCCCTGCAAGGAACAGGGATATCTCCAACTAGATCAGGTTGCTCAGGGCCTCGTCCAACCTGGCCTTGAACGTCTCCAGGGATGGGGCATCCACCACCTCTCTGGGCAACCTGTTCCAGTGTTCTACCACTCTCATGGTAAAAAATTTTTTCCTAATATCCAACCTGAACCTACCTCCCTCTATTTTAAAACCATTACCCCTTGTCCTATCACAACTGGCCCTCCTGAACAGCCTCTTCCCATCTTTCTTGTAGGCCCCCTTGAGGTACTGGAAGACCGCTATAAGGTCACCCCGGAGCCTCCTCTTCTCCAGGCTGAACAGCCCCAACTCTCTCAGCCTGTCCTCATAGGAAAGGTGCTCCAGCCCTCTCATCATCTTCGTGGCCCTCCTCTGGACCCTCTCCAACTGGTCCATGTCCTTCTTATGTTGGGGACTCCAGAACTGGACACAACACTCCAAGTGAGGTCTCACAAGGGCAGAGTAGAGGGGGAGAACCACCTCCCTCGACCTGCTGGCCACGCTCCTCTTGATGCAGCCCAGGACGCGATTGGCCTTCTGGGCCGCAAGAGCACATTGCCGGCTCATATTGAGCTTCTCGTCCACCAGTACTCCCAAGTCCTTCTCCTCAGGGCTGCTCTCGTGATGATAAGTTCCAGGTAATCCCATGTTTATGTAAATTAGTTCTCAGAAATTGGTTGAATAGATATGATTTTGCAACATATATTCCTTGTGATTTTGCCTGTTCGGGGAAGTGCTCGTGGTGGAGCCATCCCCAGTGCTGCCCGGCGCTGCAATAAAGAGTGCCAGCTTTCTAAACTCCAAAACGAGTCTCAGAACGTTCAATTGCACTGACTTTTCAGTTATCAGTAGACCCCAGCTACGGTCCTGGGGCTCTCTGGATGGCAATTAGTGTCCTTTTCAAGGTTTGTCGAGCATCACCTCCCTCAACTGCTGGCCACAGTTCCTTTGATGCAGCCCGGGACATGATTGACTCTCTCAGCTGCAAGGGCTGAGAATTGCCAGTTCATGTCCGATTTTTGATCCACCAGTATCCCAAGCCCTTCTCCACAGGGCTGCTCTCAATCCACTCATCTCCCAGCCTTTACTGATACTGGGGTTTGCCTCAGCCCAGGTACAGGACTTTGCGCTTGGCCTTGTTGAACTTCACGGGGCTCACATGGGCCCCCTCCTCCTGCCTGTCCAGGTCCCTCTCAATGGCATCTCTTCCCTCAGTTGAGTCAGATGCACCACTCAGCTTGGTGTCATCCGCAAACTTGCTGAGGGTGCAGTGTATGGTAGTGGTGCTTATTCGAGCCTTTCCCTTGCAGTGGATGGACGAGGTGTGTCAGCATCCTGCCGTGACCTCCTGCAGGTAGTTTCTGCAGCTGCCTGTAACCACACGTTCCCCTCATCACTGAACAATCAAGCTTGTGGGGGCCTGTTAGGATTTTTGGCATAACTCATTGCTGAATTTGTAAACTCTTGTTTATTCTCCGTCAAAACCGAAATTCCATTAATTTGATGTTCAAGTTCAGGTGTTGTCTGAACTAGCACAAGGTGTATCTGTGATCCAGGGCTGAAATCAGCTCTTCTTAACTCACAGTGCTCCTTCTGGGTTATTAGCTTGTCCCTTATCTGTTTTTCATTAGCTGTGTTCTCCAAAACTTCTGTAGGCAAACTATCTTGCCCTACAGAGATAAGAAGAGCTTCGTCATGGATTTCATGGGTCACGTTCTGAGGAAATGAAGGCTTTAGAGGTAGTGGTCTACAAACTTCTTCCCATATCCCTCTCTATCACCTCCAGTTGGGCCACAATGGGATGAGGGAACTGAACCAAATTTAGAAGAAAAATCTTAATTAGACTTGGGAGACACATCTGTTTAAATCTGTTCCTGTTGATTTCAGAAGAAACAAAATGTGTTTCCTCTTCACCTGGACTCTGACTGTACGGAACTTGTTTAGCTTTGCAAGAGTGTCGTGGTTTAGCCCCAGCCGACTACTAAGCACCACGCAGCTACTCACTCACTCCTCCGCCCCGGTGGGATGGAGAGGAGAAAAATGTCACAAAAGGCTCGTGGGTCGAGACAGGGACAGGGAGGGATCACTCACCAATTACGGTCACGGGCAAACCAAACTTGACTTGGGGACTAATCATTTTAATTCGTTACCAATCATATCAGAGAGGATAATGAGAAACAAACCCAGATTTAAAAAATCTTCCCCCCACCTCTCCCTTCTTCCCAGCTCTACCTCCTCCACTCTTCCGCTCCTCCTCTCAGCAGCACATGGGGATGGGGAATGGGGGTTGCAGGTCAGTTTGTCACACATTGTTTCTGCCGCTCCTTCCTCTTCAAAACAAAGACTCTTCACACTCTTCCCCTACTCCAACATGGGGTTCTGTCCCATGGGAGACAGCTGTCCATTAACTTCTCCGACATAATTTCTCCCTGCAGGATGCAATCCTTCCCATCAGACTGCTCCAGCGTAGGCTGTCCCATGGAGTCACAGCTTCTTAGGCACAGCCACCCGCTTTGGTGTGGAGTCCTCCACCTGCTGCAGGTGGGTCTCTGCTCCACTGTTAATCTCCATGGGCGGCAGTGGGGCCACCTGCCATCTCACCATGGGCTGCAGGGGGATCTCAGCTCCAGCACATCTCCTCCTGCTCCATCTTCCCTGACCTTGGTGTCCGCATAGCTGTTTCTCTCAGATCTCAGTCCTTTCTCTGCTGCAGCTGTGCTGGGCCGGACCGGCCCAAGGAACCTTGGCAGTCCTGGCAGGATGAACTCTGCCCAGCGGGTGTCCCGGGAGCAGGGCACTTGGGAGCTCTCCAAGCTGTGCCTCTGCGGCCATCTCCAGTCGAATGGCAGGTG